AATGATGCAAATTATGTTTTAAGTTAGGATCCCTCTGACTTCTATGTTGAAGAAGACTGTCAGGGATCAGGGTAGAAGGGGGCTAGTTAGGAGGCCACTGCAATGACCCAGGTAATAGAATGATGGCAACTCTGTACCAGAGATGTAGTGGTACAGCCGGTGAGAAGTGGTCAGAATTCGCCGGCTGAGTGGCTGTGGTGTCAGGGAAAGATCAGAAGCAAAGCTGGCACTGAGGGTTCTGGCCTGAGCACCTCAGACGCTGAGATGAGGACCCCGAGGAGCAGGCCTGGGGCAATTAGGGGATGAGAGCAAACCAGGAATTCAACCTTTGACACCTTGAGTTTGAGGCGGCGATTAGACATCTGTCCCAATAAATCTCTGAGAAGCTTCTTCAGGTTACTTCAGATTCAACTTATATTAACTGAGTATTGTTAAAAAGCAAAATTCAACTGAGTAAATTTGAAGATCTAATTGGCTCTATTAAATAATTCAGGATTGCCCTGGCCAGTTTGGTTCAGTGGATAGAGCGTCAACCTGTGGACTGAAGGGTCCAGGATTTGATTCTGGTCAAGGGCACGTGCACAGGTTGCAGACTTGACCCCCAGTGGGGGGGTGTACAGGAGGCAGCCAATCAATGATTTTCTCTCATCATTGATGTTTCTATCTCTCTCTCCCTCTCCAGTCCACTCTGAAATCAAGAGGCAGCCAATCCGTGATTCTCTCATATCATTGATGTTTCTATCTCTCTCTCCCTCTCCAGTCCTCTCTGAAATCAATTTAAAATTTTTTAAAAATAATTCAGGATCGAACGCATCCCATCTAGCAAATAGAAGGGAGCTCTGAGAAGCTGTAAAAAAAAAAAAATGAAAGGTTTTTAATAGGCAGAAACTGAGCAGGACAAGAAAGTTGCTGATGTAAGACAAGGACGGATCATTGTATTTTTCAGACAAGTGCACTTTTCTTTGGGAGCAGCAGGAGTCTTACTAGGTAGATAACCTCACTTGAGTTGATAAGGAAATTCCTAATCTGATTAACAGTCACCTTTCTGGGAGGGGCTTAAACTGCAATCAAGTCTTGGCTTGCTGTCCTTGGGACCTTGGGCCTGTAGTTCCTTTTCTAAACAGCACCTGTCATGTGGCGGGCACAACGGTCAGGAAAGCAGGGTCTGGAGTCCAAGGCTGGGTTCATTTCCTAGCTCCACTAGATAGTACAACTTTACGACCTTGGGAGAAATTACTTAATCTTTCTGGGCCTTAGTTTTCTAATCTGTAAAATGGAGAGAATAACAAAAGCTATGTCCCTGTGTAGTTGTGAATGACATAATATATGTAAAGCCCTTAGAACCTCGTGTGTGCTGCTGAGCAAGCGCAGCTTCATCTCGTTAGACGCTTACAACACTCTCCTGAAATACATAATTGGAAAATGAAGTGACTCTAATAAGTTCAAACAGTGAGGCAGGAAGAAGAGCCTGCAGGCAAGCCTTCATCTGTACAAGGCTGCCTCCTGGGGCCAGAACAGGGATTCCCAGCTGGTGGACCGCCCAGAAACGCTCAGGAAAGGCACACACAGAACAGCAAGCTCTTCTGCAAACACTTTTAAACAAAGCAGCTGTGTCTATTGTTTCCTGGCATTCTCAACAGCTACTCCCGCTTTTTTCTTTAGGGTAAGGAGGGAGATAGATTTGTGAGGTCTGGTCCCGGCTATCACATTAATAGTTGTGTTGAGGGCAAGTTACTCTCTGGGGAGGAACCCATCTCCAATGTTCCTTTCAGTTCCAAATGCATGATTCCACTTTTAAAAGATAACATTTGCAAACTTAACTTTAACTCTGAGCTAGCAAAATAGGCAGGATCAAATAAAAAATTAAATTTAAACGTGAAGAGGGCAGAATAACACATTCAGTAACTTCACACTCAAACTTGGACCACCAGCACATCTTAAAATGACTCCTTATTTCATCGGGAAGGACTTAAGTGCAGGCAAGTATCTAAAGCCTTAGACCAAATTCTCTATTTGAAACTGTAACAGGAAGACAAAGCAAAACACTCCAAAGAATGAATGAATGAGTCTTCCCTCAACAGGCAGCTGAAGGCAGCAGCAATCACTGCTGCAGAGGGACAACAGTGATTTTTCTTTTCTGCTCTTGAGAAAAGAAATGGTGCTAGTTGATAAGATTCATCAATGCTTTTGGCTGTACACACGTGTTCTGCAGGAGCACCTATGCCATAGGTCCTATGGCAAAACAATCCAACACCGGAATTGGGGTGAACTCCCAATTAGCGCGAGAACCACAGCCAGCACCCTTCAGGCCG